CCTCTCTGTGTCCCACTGTGAGCTCTCCTCCCTGTCCCACTGTAAGCCCCTCTCCCTGTCCCACTGTGAGCTCCTCTCCCTGTTCCAATGTGAGCACTCCTCCCTGTCCCACTGTAAGCCCCTCTCTGTGTCCCACTGTAAGCTCCTCTCCCTGTCCCACTGTAAGCTCCTCTCCCTGTCCCACTGTAAGCCCCTCTCTGTGTCCCACTGTGAGCTCTCCTCCCTGTCCCACTGTAAGCTCCTCTCCCTGTCCCACTGTAAGCTCCTCTCTGTGTCCCACTGTAAGCCCCTCTCTGTGTCCCACTGTAAGCTCTCCTCCCTGTGTCCCACTGTAAGCCCCTCTCCCTGTCCCACTGTAAGCCCCTCTCCCTGTCCCACTGTAAGCCCCTCTCCCTGTCCCACTGTGAGCTCTCCTCCCTGTCCCACTGTAAGCTCCTCTCCCTGTCCCACTGTAAGCTCCTCTCTGTGTCCCACTGTAAGCTCCTCTCTGTGTCCCACTGTAAGCTCTCCTCCCTGTCCCACTGTAAGCTCTCCTCCCTGTCCCACTGTAAGCTCCTCTCCCTGTCCCACTGTAAGCTCCTCTCCCTGTTCCAATGTGAGCACTCCTCCCTGTCCTACTGTAAGCTTCTCTCCATGTCCCTGTGAGCTCCTCCTTCTTTCCCCCTTTTAGCCCTTCTTCAGAACAATAGAAATGAATTGTGAGTCTGCTTTTAGTCCACAGTTGCTGCCAGGCCTCTTCAGTTCTCCCAGAAATTTCTCTTTTTGTTTTGGATTTCTATCATCTGCAGTTCTTTTTTTTTCCTGAGTGTTTGACTTCCATTCCAGGTTATAGTTGAAAATGGAAATATATGTGCTCCCTTACACATCAAAATATTAAATTAACATGTTTCATTTAAAACATTGTTAAATTTCTATTTCAAAAATAGACTTCATGAACTGATTAATCAACTGATTATATCTGAGTATTCAAGTTTCCAAAATCCTCTTGCTTTATTTTGCTACTATCAGTTAAGCAATGATAAGAAAATTATTAAATGCAGGTGAATAGTCTATTGACACCTCTTCCTTATTTTACTGTATTGTACTTGATCAACTGAGGCCGAATTATGCCTTTTCTTTTGTTATCCTGAAAGTTTCTATGTTTTGATTGCAGGCTTGGTTAAACAAACGCATCCCTTGGGAGGCAGAGATTCTACAAAACTTGTACGATGTATCCTTCGAAGATGCTTATCTGTACATGAAATTAAATCTCCATCCAGTTATGGAGCTGCTTGAGTGTAACTATATTGTGCAGGTTAGAAACATTTCTGTAAATTCAGCTTTGCGATAAAAATTTGTTCTTACATAACCCAGACTCCTTCAATACTATTTCTGGACACATTTTGTCAGAGCAGTAGTACAGGTTCACTTGAGCTGGGATCACAATGCTATACAGCCAGATATTGTCTTGGATGTTCTCACCATTACCTCTGGACACCATAGAAGTTTCCTGGCTTCGGGCCAAAAATGGGCAAGGAAAGCTTTGGCTAAATTCTAAACTCCAGTTCTCTTTCAGCTGATGAATCAGTACTTCCCCATGTCTAAACGAATACAAACATTTTTTAATTGCAATTTTAGCAACTGAACAATGAACTTTAGAAACAAGGTGACTGTTCATTGAGATTTGAATATCTGTAAGGTTATGATCGAGGGTAAAAGGGATGAATCTTTATGCCTAATATTTGTGATAAGACTGTTTCAAACAATTCTTGGAAAGTGAAGTGAGATAAAGTAGCTGCAGCTTGTTTAAGTTCTCAGGAAGATCATTAATGAAACAAAATAGCATTGAACGAATGTAGGATACTACAGGTTTTTTATGCTAGATGATAAAGGACACAGTAAGACCAGTTAATTCCTTTAACTGAGCAAAGATTTATTGAGATAAATCATCAACATCATGTTAGTTGGCACAAGATGGAAGAGAGAGAGAAAGAGGTCATGCTGCCGTAGATTTTTACAAGTCATTCAGGGGCTATGGGCATTGCTGGCTGAGCCAACATTTATTGTCCATCCCAAGTTGAGCTTGGGAAGGTGCTAGTGAGCTGCCTTCTGAGAAAAGATGTTCTTGCTATATTTTTTGTCAAGCGAACTTAAGCTGAAAGTTGATGGTGACCTATAGACTGTGAGCAGCAGCTTGTTTCAATAAAAGAGGAGAAGAAACAAACTGTTTTTTGTTTTTTTGAGGCTTGGCCTGGAAGTTAATTGCAACTTGATTCTTATTCAAAGTGCTCGATAGATGTTTCAGCTCCAGAGGCCTTATACTCAAGCAGATGACAGATGTTAACTGGGACCTCATGGGGAAACAACCAGTATGGTATGGAGAGGCCAGAGTTTGAATTGATTTATGGGTTGTGTTTGGATCAGAAGGATTGTGCCGGTGAAAGCTACAGGATGGAGGTTTGATTACTCCGTGGTTGTCCTCCCATCAGTGAATATTTCTCAGAGCCTGCTGGATGCTAGTTGTGTGCATTGGTGTCTTCGGAAACCAAGCGAGATATAATCCCATGTGCCTGTGACATTATGGAGCATGGAGTCTGCTTCATGAACTGGCCAGTTACATCTCATTTATTTATTTTCTTTTTGATTAATCCCTGTTTATCTGTCTGTCTTTGTGTGAGTGTGGGGGCCAGAATCAATGTAGGTTGTGTTTAAATATAGGCATTAATTAGATTACCTTGTGGTTTAACTTTGCTCTGCTAAAGCTACTATTTTTTCAATAAATTGTTTTATGTTCTATTTACACTACAATCCCAGTGTTTGGTATCAGTTATTCATGAAGTTTGGTACTTGTTATTCAAAAAATCTGATTAGGACCCATTGAGGTCAACTTTGAAGGTCATTGAGGATTTTAATGTTACTGTGACCTCCCATCCCAGTCTCCAACCTCATCATTCCCCAACCCCACACCGCCCATTTCTATCACCTTCCCAAAATCCACAAACCTGACTGCCCCAGCTGACACATTGTCTCTGCCTGCTGCTGCCCCACTGAACTCATCTCCGCTTACCTTGACTCTGTCTTTTCCCCCCCCAGTCCAGGGACTCCCCACCTATGCCTGGGACACCACCCTCCACCTCCTCTAAAACTTCCAATTCCCTGGCACCCAACACCTCATCCTCACTATGCACATCCAATCCTGGGATTCCTCCAGTGTCACAACGATGCCACCCAAAAACTGAAGGAATAGCACCTCATATTCCGCCTTGGAACCCTACAACCCAATGGTCTCAATGTGGACTTTATGAGCTTCAAAATCTCCCCACCCCTGACCTCATCCCAAGACCAGCACCCCCTCTCATCCCCGCCTCCTTGACCTGTCCGTCTTCTCTCCTACCTATCCGCTCCTCCCACCTCACTGACCAAACCCCACCCCCACTTCCTACCTACACTCACCTTTACTAGTTTCATCCTCGCCTCCTTGACCTGTCCTTCTTCTCTCCCACATATCTTCTCCACTATCCACCTTCTATCACCACTCCCCCTCTCTCTGTTTATTTCGGAGACCCCTTCACCTCCCCCATTTCTGAAGAAGGGTCCAGACCCGAAACGTCAGCTTTGCTGCTCCTCTGATGCTGCCTGGCCTGCTGTGTTCCTCCAGCTCCACACCTTGTTATCTCAGACTCCAGCATTGGCAGTTCCTACTATCTCTGAGTGAGTTACAATCCCTATGCACTTGTATCCCCCACACAGATGGCCTAAAAGCCCTCCACTTCTTCCTCTCCCACAGGCCTAACCAGACCCCTCCACCGACACCCTCATCTGTTTACCAGAACTCGACCTTACCCTGAACAGCTTCTCCTTTAACTCCTCCCACTTCCTACAGACTAAGGGGGTGGCCATGGGAACCCACATATGCCCAAGCTATGCCTGCCACTTCGTAGGATATGTGGAACAGTCGCTTTTCCGCTGTTACACTGGCACAATGCCCCACCTCTTCCTCCACTACAATGATGACTGTATCGGCACTGCCTCATGCTCCCATGAGGAGCTTGAACAGTTCATCAATTTTCCTAACACCTTTCACCCCAACCTCAAATTCATTTGGACCATCTCCGATACCTCCCACTCCTTCCTCGACCTCTCTGTCTCCATCTCTGGCAACCGCCTTGAAACTGACATCTATTTCAAACTCACCGACTCCCACAGCTACCTGGACTACACCTCCTCTCACCCACCTTCCTGCAAGAACATGATCCCTTACTCCCAATTCCTCTGCCTCCGCCACATGTACTCCCAAGATGGAGCCTTCCACTCCTGGACATCCCAGATGTCCTGCTATTTCAAGGACTTCAACTTTGCCCCCTCCGGTGATCAAAAATGCCCTCAACTGCATCTCTTGCATTTCCTGCACTTCTGCCCTCAAACACCCTCCTCCCAACAAAAATAAGGTTAGAATCCCCCTGGTCCTCACATACCACCCCACCAACCTCCGCATCCAGTGTATCATTCTCCACCACTTCCAACACCTCCAATTCAAACCCACCACCAAAGAGATATTTCCCTCCCACCTCTACTGCCTTTCATAGGGACCACTCACTCCACGACTCCCTCTTCCGCTCCACACTCCCCACTCCCCACTCCCCACTAATCCTACCACTCCCGGCACCTATCCCTGCCACCACAGGAAGTGCTACACCTGTCCCTACACCTCCTCCCTCACCTCCATTCAAGGCCCAAAACAAACTTTTCATATCAGACAGGGGTTCATCTGTATATCCGTCAACTTGGTCTACTGTAACTGCTGCTCCCAAAGTGGCCTCCTCTACATCGGTGAGAACAAGCGTAGACTCGAAGACCATTTCTTAGAACATCTGCGCTCTATCCATGATAAATGACAATTCCTTTCAGTCACCAACCATTTTAAATCGCCCTCCTACTCCCTGGGTGACATGTCCATACTGGGCCTCCTACAGTGTCACAATGAAGCCACCCGCAAACTGAAGGAGCAGCATCTCATATTCCGCCTCGGGAGCCTACAGCCTAATTGCCTAAACAGTTTTAAAATCTACCCCCCACCCCCGGCCTCATCCCATGTCCAACCCTCCCATTCACCCCCGCCTGCTTGACCTGACACAACCCGTCCATCTTCTCTCCCACCTATCCGCCCCACCCTTCCCACTGACCAATCCCCACCACTGCCTCCCTGCACTCACCTATCACCATCCCACCTACACTTCCTAGCCCCAACCCTCCTCTCTCTATTTATTTCCCAGCTCCCTTCCCCCTTCTCATTTCTGAAGGAGGGTGCTGACCCGAAACATCAATTTTCCTGCTCCTCTGGTGCTGCCTGGCCTGCTGTGTTCCTCCAGCTCCACACTGTATTGTCTCTGACTCCAGCTTCTGCAGTTCTTGCTATCTTTTAATGTTACTGAGTTGTGAATACAGGGGCAAGGAGACTGATTTGACTTTGTTGTCTAACTCCATGTCCTAACATTGCGTATGTGTTCATCTGTAAGTAAACATGTCCTCCTGTTCCTCAGACTACTAGGACACCCCATAGTTTAATGTCCCAGAATCTAAGACCAATTAAACTTGTGAAATTGCTCCATTTCCAGATTGGTCTTTGAATCTCCATTGAAGTTCAACATCTGGACAGTTGCAATCCTGGATAAAAATCACAAGGATATTTTAACAAATGGTCATTTATTTGTATCCTTCTTTGAACCTTATCTTTACCAGTTACAAAATCATTGAAAATGAGAAGGAAAAAAAAATCATCCAATTAGGTATTGACTCTTTTTGCCATCCTTGCATGACAAGGATGGCTACATTGGCTGGATCTTGAGGAAATGTTACGTAATGAAATCTCCAGGTAATAAATATAAACCCAGTTGGTAACCCTGTAAGAGGGCCAGGAATGGAAATGAGGCAAGAAAAGGATGTGGGCTGATGAGGGGCCAGCAGGGGGGTAAAACTTAAACAGGTTCATGCTGTTGAAAGAGGCTATTGATGGAGGCTCCTTCTGTTATATTTGTAATTCCTTTGGAACCATGAATTATATACCAGGTAGACAAATGGTAAATCTGAACAAGAACACTTTAATGACAAGAAGCAAAAACAGAAGTCACTAGCAGTGCCAATCTCTGCAGGCATGCTGCCACTATTGACGGTATCCTCATAAACAGGCCAAAAATGGAGGTTAGTGGCCTGTGGTCTGTCAGTAGCACAAACTCCCTGGCGTAAGGAAAATGGTTGAACTTCTTAACAACAAATACGATACTCAATCTTTCTTTATCCACTTGGACATAATTATCC